CCATCGCTTGTCCCAGCTCCTGCCAACCTAGCAGTTCGAAAACATGTAAAAATGTGATTTGATAGATAGATACCACCTCAGTGGGAAGGTCACGGTGTTCCATGTCTAGTCGCCCTGGCCACATGACCATGGATACTGTCATCGGACAAACGCTGGCTCTGCAGCTTGGAAATGGGGATGAGCACCATGTCCTAGAGTTGGACAAGACTGGACTAAATGTCAAGGGGAACCTTTACCATTTTATAACAGTGCTTCACAATATTCTTTGAGGATGCACATTTACATGATGGGGGTACTTGGCTCAGTAATACTACGAGCGATTGTAGGTCAAACACTGAATATGAACCAACACTGCCATGGGGCTGGAAAAAAAGCAAATGCATTAAGAGAAGTATCATTTCCAAATCCCATGAAAGATGATTTCCTCTCCATCCAGCACTTGTTAGGCCTCATCTTGAGTACCGTATCCAGTTCTGGAGGCTACACTTGAAAAAGGATGTTAACCAACTGGGGGAAGGGAACAAGGATGATCAGAGGACTGGAACCAATGAAGAAAGACTGAAAGAGCAGAGCCTGTTTAGTAGACTGAGCGAAAATAAGACATCACTCTTCAAGTATTTGAAAGGCTGTCATACAGAGGAGGGTCAGGATCTGTTCTTGGTCACCCCAGAGTGCAGGATGTGTAATAATGGGCTCAAGTTACAGGAAGCCAGATTTAGGTTGAATATCAGGAAAAACGTCTTAACTGTCAGAGCAGTACGACCATGGAACCCGTGACCTCGGGAGGTGGTGAGCGCTGCAGCGCTAAAGGCATTCAACAGAAAACTGGACAACCATCTATCAGATCTGCTTGGAGTTGGATTCCTGCCTTGATCAGGGGGTTGGACTAGATCAGTGGTTCTTAACGTGGGCAATAATGCCCCCCAGGGGGCGATTTCATTTTTCAGGGGGGCGGTAGAACGAAAAGGGGCGGTGTGGGGGCGAAAGAACAGAAGGGAGGTGGTAGGGGGGCGCTGGAGCGAGCCAAACTTGTGAAGGCAACTGCAGCTGCAGTGCTGGCAGTAGATCTGGTGCTGCAGCTACCG